AAAATATTCGGTACTTTGCCACAACACAACAATGGTGCTCACAGTCTAGCTGCTGTCTCACTCTCCAACTTCATCCCCACCGTGCCCTTCAACCAGAGCGGTCTTTAAATCACTCACACTCAGGTGTTCCCTTCTGTCATAGGGCCCTTCTCAGGCTGTTTCCTGAGCAGACTGCTGGAACCACTCTTCTTCCATTTAGCTCCAGCTCGTCTTTCAGGCCTTCACCAACCTTTCTGATGGGGTCCTCTTCTCCTTCTGTAACATTGTGTATTCTTTAGAGCCCCTGAGGCAGTTGCACTTTTAGATTTCCTTGTTTGAGGGTCTAGTTAAAGTCGGGCCCTTTCACTAGGTTCCCTGATCCATGAAGACAGTGTTTTGTGTTTTGTTTGTTTGTTTGTTTGTTTGTTTTGTTTTGTTTTTATTCTCTTGCCATTATATAGGCACTCAGGAAATAACAATGTAGAGACTGAAACCAGCCGGGACCTGCGAAACCATGAGGCACATATGTGACTTTTATTCATCTCTGCAGATCAGCTCGCTTCCCTCACAGTGGACTCATTTTCGCTCCTTTGCTACAGAATCTCATGGGATAAAAATTGTAGGGTAGATAACCTCTCCAGGTGAAATAGTACAAGTGCCCATGAGTCATGTCTGTCCCTCTAACTCTCACATTCTTTCAAATTCCTCTCACTTTAATCTCTACAATATCTGACTCAGAGCTAGAGAATATGCTGCCAACTCAGTGGTCATTTATGGATCAATCCTTTTGTTTCCCATTTTCTTCTAGAATAACTAAGCAGGTGTTAAAATAACAACACCTCCAGAAATTAAGTAGGAAAGGAAATGGTTTTGCTTTTGAAATAACCCTTGGTGCATTTCCTTAACAAATATTTGCTGACCCCCTAATAAGTACCAGTGGCTACATTAGGCCTTTAGAATACAATAGAGAAAACAAACAAGGGCCTTGCTCTTACTAAGATTAGAATCTAGATGGGAAACATTATTCCAATACTCACAACATCAATAAATATTTAATTTACAATGATGTGAATGCTTTACATGGAATACATAACATTCCTTGTGAATATTGAACACATTAACGTGATCTATAATTGCAGTAAGATAGGGAAGGCTTACTTCATGAGCGACTCTTGAGATAAGAATTTAAAGGTGAGTAAGAATTAGACAAAGAGGAGAGGTCAGAGCATTTCAAAAAAAAAAATATTAGTGTGTACAAACAACCTGTGACAGGAAGCAAACTGGCCATTATGAGGGTCTAAAAGAAGAACAGAGATATTAGGAAAAGAAATAAAAATGAAAACTTATTAGAGTTGAGAATGGAGAGTTATTTAGGAGTGAGAGACAGTGACATGCTGGAACTGACTCATACTGGCTAACAAGGGCCAATTATTAATTATATTTCCAGAAATTTTATGAGCTGATTGTTAAGCCAAAATAATAAAAAAAAAAACCTATAAATTTATAATTAAACAAATTACATTAAAAACACAGATTTTCAAATTATTACTAGTTGTTCTTAACTATTTGATTGCAGTTTACTCTTATTTGTGTTCCTGAGTTTATTTATGGCTATTATTAATACATCAGTATGGTGGGAACACTTCATAATGGTGTGCTACTACTCATTTCTTTCAATCCCACATTCAGTGATGTTGCATTACTAACTTGAAATCAACCACAGTGGGATTTTACACCCTGGAAACTGACTAACTCTTCAAATCAAGACTCCCTTACACTGCCAAGAGCCAGTAGCAGCACACCGTGAGACCTTGAAGTCCCAGTTAAGTATTGATCTTTATCACAGGAGAAATGAGCAGATATTGAAAGGATTTGAACAGGGAGTTGAAAAGCACATATCTGTTTAAAAATAAATCACTGAGACTACAGAAATAGGAAGCGAGGTGACTTGGGGGCATCCATATGGTTAATAATGGAGGCTCAGACTAGGATCACAGAAGTGAAAATGGAGGAAAGTGAATGGATTTAAAATTTGCTTAGGAGCTAAAACACAAAAGGACTTATCCTCCAGGAGCCCTGCCGAAAAAGTGGCTGAAAGGATGATGTCAAAAGTAATTTCTGGGACCACAGGCACGCAACAATCCTCAGCCAATTTTTTTTATTTTTGGTAGAGACGGAGTCTCTCTCTTGCTCAAGCTGGTCTTGATCTCCTGAGTTCGAGAAGTTCTCCCACCGCAGCCTCCCAAAGTGCTGGGATTGCAGGCATAAGCCACTGCACTCAGCAGTGTGACTGTTTTTTAAAAGAACTCATTTATATTTATATTGACCTTATGTTCAGGGACACTATGACATTTAATTATTGATTATAAATCTATTGAATTTTCTGTGTATGCAGTTGTCATAAGTGAATAATTATAGTTTTGTTTTCCCTTTCCAATTCTTATATTTTCTTTTCCTCATTGCACTAGCTATACTTGCAGGATGATGTTAAATAAAAGTGGTGACAGCAGACATACTTGTCTCATTCTGAACCTCAAGGGAAAGCTTACAGTGTTTTATTGTTAAATATAGTCATGATCATAATTGTAGAATCACATTCATAGAATTCGTAGATCATATTTATAGAATACAAACAATATATTTGTAGAAAATACTGTTTTCATGAATAAGTATTGAGTTTTATCAATGGCCTTGTCTATACATGTATATATATATATAATTAGTTTTTCCTCCATTCTGTTAATGTGGTGAGTTTATACAGATTGATTTTTGAATATTATATCTTATATTTCTAGAATGAACCTAACTTGGTATATTAAAAAAAAATAAATGTAGTTTCTAGATTTCTGACTATTCACATTGGAAATTTGTCTTGCCATTTGCTAAAACAGAAAACATTAGAAGAAATTTGTTTTATTTGTTGCATTTGTTGAATGTGTTGAAACTGTTGCATTAGTAGGCCTTTGAGATACCTAAAGACTGAGAACTGGTAGCATTAAACTGCCTGATAGAATCAGTCACTTAAGAGCCCAAGTGCCCATCAATACATGAGTGGATTAATAAAATGTGGTGTATGTATACCAGGGAGTACTACTCAGCCATAAAAAACAAAGGTGATCTAGTATTTTTTGTAACAACCTGGATGGAACTGAAGACCATTCTTCTAAGTGTCACAAGAATGGAAAAACAAACACACACCATATGTACTCAATGCTAAATTAGAACTAATCATCAACACTGATGTGCACATATGGAAGTAAAATTCAAGGGAAATTAAGTAGGTGGAAGTGGGGAGGAGGGTATGGGTAAATTCACACCCAGCAGGTACAAGGCACATTATCTGGGTGAAGAGCACACTTATAAGTTTGCCTCAAACTATGCAAAAGCAAATTATGTAACCAAAACATGTCTACGCCCATAATCTGAAATTAAAAAAAAAAAAAGAGTCTCATAAGGAAGAAGCAAAGTCTCCTTATCCTCCCCAACTTCTGGATGCTTATATTGTTTTCATTCGGAGCCCAATCCTGCCACCATGTGTCAATGAGCCAACTTCACAGTTGAGTAAACTTTAGGCCTAAGTAAGAGAGGAGGGAAATCTCCATATGGAATAAACGGAATGGAAATGTGTGAAATCAAGGGACTGTCTCCTTACATAAACTATTTTTAAAGTAACCCATAACTTTTCTATTTTCATATATACATATTCCTGTATGTGTGGTGGCTATGAGAATGGCCTGCAAGATCTCTAACTGCAGGAAGCATAAATGCTCCTGGCCAGTGATTGAACAAGGCAGAGATAGATACTAAGGGAAGCCTGTTATAGGAAGTATCAGACCGTCAATTTCCTTGCCAAACTTTCCTTAGAACTGCATTGTCTAAGATGTTTCCATCCAAATATCCTGTCTTTACCTCCTCTCTCCTTAACTTTGGTTCAGACCTGCATCATGGTCTGATCGCTCTGCCAGCCTTAACCTGTTGTCTGCCTGGTGCCTGTAGCGGGCCCTGAGTGGTTGTGATTTCCTGCCACTCCCCTAGAGATAGCAGACACCTTCTTTTCATTAGCACAGGGTCCTGGGCCCAAACTAATTTTCTGTCCTTTTTCTCAAGGTCAGACAGCTTTTGCTTCTGTGCTTTCCCAGAAGCAAAGGATGTAAAACTTCTGTGTCTTAGAAGTTGGAGGGTTTCTTTCTCCTCAGCCAGTGCTCAAGGCTTCTACTTTGTAAGCGAGAAGGGTCCAAGAAGGGGATTGGGTTTTGTGGCTGTGTGCCCAAGAGGGGCTCTTTCCAGTTTCTCTCTTCCCTCAAACCTTCACATAAGAAACTCATGGACAGGAGGCGATGAGTGAGAATAGATGACATTGTGTGTGGGGCCCCAGGGATTCTAAACAGTCATGATAGCACATGTTCAGCCTTTAATTAGTCTTCAAAGTTTGAGCTGTTTTCTTTACTCACTTTGATGGCTGTTGCCTCTTTTTCCTGTGATTTTCCAAAAGTCAAACAGTTGACGTGTCCTGCCTATCCTTAGAGGGCTTGAAACTCTGGACAGTGTAGTTCACGTGGTTACCTTGTGATCCCGGTTCTCTAATGGTCTCAAGAGAAATTATGACTTTTCAAGTTAATCTGGCTTTTTCTCATCTTCAGCTTGGAAGCAGTGCTGTTCTGTGGTCTTCCACATGCTAAGAAGAAGAGAGATCCCCTCTTATTTTGAAAAATCAGTTATATTCCTGCATCAGGTTTCATCTTTTATGGATATAGCAAAGTTGGAGATAGAATGTATGCATAAATGGTATATTACATTCTAGACATGTGAAATTATGTTGTCATAATTTCATACCAAGTTGGCAGTTTGTGCAGTGGTAGCTATTCTCTGAATATCTTGACTGAAAATGTTAAGCAGCAATGGAATGCACAGTCCAGTATCAAAGTTCCCATATTAGATTACAGCTAGGCAAAAAGAAATTGTTTCTAGTATATTCTGCTTTGGATCATTCTTCAACACAATTACCTTGTCCTTTCCACCAGGTGGTTGACCAGATTGATACACTGACCTCTGACCTACAGCTGGAGGATGAGATGACCGACAGCTCCAAAACGGACACGCTGAACAGTAGCTCAAGTGGCACCACAGCCTCCAGCCTGGAGAAGATCAAAGTGCAGGCTAATGCGCCGCTTATCAAACCCCCAGCACACCCGTCTGCTATCCTCACCGTCCTGAGAAAGCCAAACCCTCCACCACCTCCTCCACGGTTGACACCTGTGAAGTGTGAAGATTCCCAAAGGGTGGTGCCAACTGCCAATCCTGTAAAGACCAATGGCACCCTTCTGCGAAATGGAAGCTTACCAGGTGGACCTAACAAAATTCCAAACGGAGATGTCTGCTGCATACCCAATAGTAATCTGGACAAGGCTCCAGTGCAGCCTCTAATGCATAGACCTGAAAAAGACAGGTGTCCCCAGGCAGGGCCTCGAGAACGGGTTCGGTTTAATGAAAAAGTACAGTACCATGGCTATTGTCCTGACTGTGATACCCGGTATAACATAAAAAACAGGGAGGTCCACTTACACAACGAACCTATCCACCCACCAGGAAAAAATCCTCACCCAGGGCCTCTCCTCCCTCCTCCCCCCCACCTCCCTCCTTTCCCGCTGGAAAACGGGGGGCTGGGAATAAGCCACAGTAACAGCTTCCCCCCTCTCAGACCTGCAACTGTGCCTCCTCCCACTGCACCAAAACCACAGAAGACGATCTTGAGGAAATCGACCACCACAACAGTGTGATGTATGCCATTTAAAAATAACTTTTTGGTTTTTTTTTTTAATTTTCTATATTATAAACATAAAATAATAAGTAATGAGCACTTTCTACTCAAGCAATAAAAAGCCCAAACATATTAATTCTGCATTCAGCAAAGTGGCATAAAAATCACCTGGTAAGTATGCAGTCAGTGTGTATTGCTTATATCCTAGGTATGCGTTATTTTAAATGTCGTATCATCGAAAACCTCAGAGTAATGACAACATATGAAAACATTGTTTTTGCAATTCTGTGACAAACTGTGACCTGCAGATTTCAAATATTTTGATTTACTAGAAGAGATGGGATTTGATTCATTTTATTCATGACTAACTCATCTATGCATTAATAACATGTCATACTCTTTGATCTAATACTTTTTACTAAGAAATTTTAATACTGAAGGACTATTTTATTATTTTTTTCTAAAGATGTTTGTCACTAGTTTTTCATTATTAAATGCTGAGGACGATATAAAAAAGTTTATTTTCTATACTATACAATTATATGTTCAGCTACACATGTAATAAAATATTTTGGTCCTTGGAAATATCATTATGTCAATAAACAAAAGTAAATAATGACAAAAACCAAATGTTCCTCAGAATTAAAGTAGTGGTTCATTTACCCCATATTAGTATCAGTCAAAATGAGTAGCAAATGTGACAGATTTTAGAGAAGATTATAGTGAGTGTATGTCAGACTTTTCTAAATTAAATATCATATTCCATGTCATAAATAGAAGTTTACACATTGCATATTATACCTCTCCATTTGGAACTTCAAGAACCCTCTGTTCAAACTCCCTATGTGAGGCCAAGCCCTTTAGCCCTTCGCACTCAGCCTTCTTCCAGAACAGACTAAATTTGGGGCTGTAGGATGTTTTGCCTCCTGCATCAACAAGCTCTCTGCCTCCCTGAGTGAACCCGCATTTATAGGAGGATTATAGGGGAAAATACAGGTGCTTCTGGTAATTGGATGCGTTCAGCATTGGCCTTAAGCTTTCTCCTCTCAGAGTTGAAAGAAGTCATGTTTCTTTGCTGTTCTAGAGAAGAGAAGGAATCTTTTCGTTCTAACATCAAATAAAAGTCCTTCTCTTCAGTCATATTTGCCAACTTAGAAAATTACCCACCCATGGGCCAAGTTCAGTTCCCAACCGCATTGATTAGAACTGAGGAGATGTTTGCTCTGGAGCTAGAAATGAGTTTATCTACCCTGGAGTCATGATGAGGACAGGTTCCTGAACAAAATTGGTCCATTAAGTGGTAAGGACAGAGGTAGTCATCTGTGGTGGAAATTTGTTTACTGTGCAACTTGATAAAGAGTACAACAATCTATTTGAATATATATGGCTTTTGGTCTCTAAACTTTTTTTTTTTTTTTTTTTTTTGCTGCTTCAGGGAGGTAGTCTTCAATTATTTAATATATTCCTTTGTTGCCTTTTTCAGGCTATATCATCGTAATTTGAAATGCTGTTTTTAAATATTTTCCTATTAAAAATGAGAATGTATTTTAGTCAGAATACAGAAAGAAAAATGACTTTATTTTTGAAGCAATGATCAAATGAATGAAAATCAGAGAATATTATGTTAAACATTTACTCTGTGTGCTTTTTCTTCTGTATGTGTTGGACATGAAAATAATGCAAGCAAAATAATTCAACTTTTCAGAAAGTTACAAAACATAAGAACAAAAATCAAGAAAGGCCATAGTCTGAAATTTATTAACTGTATCATCAGTATGTTTAATAGAATATGAGCCAGGTAAATAAATAATTGACTTGTTGAATACCAAAATTATGTGTTCTTAACTTTGTAATACATTTGTAGTTTTGATATAAATAAACCCAGGGTTTCGTTATCTTTCTAGATTTAAACAATTACATCTTTTCACATGTCCATTAAATGTTAGACCATTCAAGATTACAAACTATCATAGAAGACATGAAGTTTTCTCCTTTGAATCCATCTCTCTTCTTCAGCCGGTTACTGTAACCTAATAATCACCATATAGTTTGTGGCTTTGACCCTTGTTGATGTCTAGGAACCAAGCTGGATATCAAGATAGAGCTTTCTAACAATCACACATCATCCACAGAGCACATAACTTGCTTGCAATAAAACAATTTGAATAATGAATCATTCAAGATGGTTGAATAAAGACATTAAGTCAGATGACTAGAAACAACCTCAGAGGTTCAAATCCGTCTCTTTTCCTCAGAGTATAGACAAAACTTCCCCATGATTGACCATATTTTTCTCTGTGATTAGTGACATATGTCAAAAGTATGCCTGTTTTTATTCAACACATTAGTAAGTAACTATTGGCCTGGAAAACTGAGTTAAATCTCAACCATGAAATGTTATAGTTATTGACATTACTCTCTTATTATGGTTTATTTATTTATAATCAACATTAAATGTTAGATTACAACAATATGGACTTTCTTTTGAGTTTATTTACTATATGTTGTTTTATTTTTCATTAATGTACAGAATATATTGTATCAATATGTTTTCTTGCCCAACTGATAATTTTGCAACATTCACTAGAACTTAGTTATTTCTTTACATATATATAAACTTGTAAAATATAGATATGGATTAACAGGGCATCATTTTATTTTCCTGGAAACTTGCAAATAAAGTGTCATAAGTGGAAGCATAGTTTTAGTCAGTCAACATTGCTCTCAAAATTTAAATTTTGAAATACAATCTCTTCACATTATCCATTAAATCATTATAAGACATTGTATATGTTTCCTGTTCCCGAAGATTTGAAACAGAAATGCTTTTCTCAAATTCTTAAAGGAAACTGATTTTTTAAAACAGTATGGATGGGAACATTTTTATTTACACACAGCATGTACCACAGGGCCAGCATTCATACTCCTTTGAAGGTGGTATTCCCACAAAATGTAAAATGGTAATATACTAATTATAACAATAGCCATTCCAAATGTAAAAATAGAATATGTTTCAAAAGATATGGTACTCATTAATTAAATTGGAATAGAAAAGATTTTTGTCTTTTTACTTCAGACAAAGATTGTCCCAGTTGTAGAGGTCATTGATGAAAGGCAAAAATAAAATGAAAATTGACCAACGTTCTCTTCCTTTGCCCAACTGTTATAGCAGTTATAAAAGGAAATAAAACTGATATTTTTTAGGTCATGCTTAAGCTAAATATAGCTAACATTAAGCCAAGAAGGGACCATGAATATGTTCACTCTCTTATTCAACTTCTGTTTTATCTTGGACTTTCAGCTCTATCAAACAACTGCCAATTTTATTCTCCAAATGCTCAAATATATCAAATACTTATTCTTTCCATTACCTCAGGAGACTTCACTCCCGTAGATCCCCATTCTTCTGCTGTGCAGGGACTCTTAATTCTGATTTCCTTATTAGATTTCTATTGCCTCGTCTCAAAAAAGATTAACAATAAATAAATAAATAAATAAATCTTTATAAAAATACTAGGGCATGCAAAAAGAGAAATTCCCCACTCTTACAATTTGATAGTATTATATTCATAATCTCCCCTCGTTAGCGCAATAATATCGGGAAAATGAATGTACAATTAGCTGAAGTGGTTTAATTAACCTAAAAATCTTGTGTTTAAATTATAACTGTATCCGAATTATTAAATGAATCAAGGAAAAAGGCACAGTATTATGTGGCTTTCTCTGGACAGATCAGTAGTTACTTTTAGCATGACTAGAGTAGCAGCTACAGATAGTCTGTGAAACTGTAAAAATCCTTTTATCTACAGGTTCTAATTATAGCTTTTTTGGGTGCTACATGAAGGAAAGTCTGAGAAGTTCTGCATATAATTGCACCAGGAATAGTGTAATCAAGTGATGAATCACTGCCTTGACTGAATTTTTTTTTCCCCATGGAATATATGTGACAATGCAATGCCAAGTCTTGTAATTATCTTGAAGATTTCTCTTCTAAATCTCTGTTGGTGGCACATTTTGGTATAATGTATGCTCTAAATTGTCACGAAAGATTACATTGTACTCTATTTTGATAAAGTATTGATGATTACTAAGTGAGGTAATAATTGCTGTTGCTCTCTTTATGAGCAATAGGGTTCTATAAAAAGCCATGTTAGAAAATTAGGTAAAGTGTACAGCATCTGACAATTACTAGACATTGTCACAAAACCACACGACATTTTTTGGGGTCAATGTGCAACTATGACACTGTAATTATGTTTTTAGTGTAAGCATTTGCAGTTTTAAATTTTTTCAAGTTGCATGATTCTGAAATAATGAGACATGTGATGCTATGATTAGTGCACACAGCAGTGTTGAACATAAAACCGCAGTTAGCCGCATGTGAGTGGAGCAGCAATGATGTAGGTGTCATTTCATTTGAAGAACTTGGATTTATTATTATTCTAGTCTTTTGGGGGAAAAAAACTAAAGTGGAATGTAAAGAACATAAAGTCATCTTTATGTCAAAGATTATGAAGAGATAATAAAGAACATTCTTTCTTTAAATACAGTTAAATCAACATGGGATATAAAATTGTGTGAAGGCCAAAGTAAAATAATAAGGAAATACTGCTTATAATTGATAACTTCTAAACTCATCAAAGATAGAGAGACTAATACAGTAACTTCTCTCTGAAACTTTACCTGTCTGTAAGACTAAAGATAAAATATATATTATTATCTAGATTTACAAGCAGAGAAATCCAGGACCTCATTTTTAGTATTTTGCCAAAATAGGTCCCTTAGTAAGTATTGGGCTGGCATTTTAGTGTTGGTATGACTCACCATGCTTTCTCTCCACAACATCAGCATTTAATTATGTTCCTCACACCTCTGAACTTTACAAATCTTTCCTTTATTCTGAGCAGTTATTTTGACGCTTGAAAGGGGTTACCTAATGTTGTTTTGACATTCTTAATGTGTTTGATCTTTGCAGAATATGAAAGGGATTTCAGGCAATTTAGCTGCCTTCTAAAATGAA